CTCGCGGTTACCTGGCGGGGGCTGAGCTCTGCAAACCTTTCTCTTATCCCCCCCCCCCTTTCCTTCAGCGAGGCACACGGTAGCTTGTGAGAAGTAGGTGAGGCGGCTTTTCTGCACGGAGGTCGGCGCCTAAGTCCGAGTCGCGCCTCTGCAAACTGAGAACTGCCTTTATGGGAAGATTTTTCACACGCAAGGGCTGCAGATGCGGGGTTGTGAAGGCTTTAATAACGGTATACAGAGAAACAGATCCCCAAAATCCTAAAGTTTCTTCAAAACATAAACTCTCCTTATTTCATGGATGTTTTAAAAGAACTTTAAAAAGGAAACAAAAACAGAAATCCTGAGCGTCAGTGTTAAACTCTAAGAAGCGAATCTCTTATTTCTTTTCAAAATTGTTCTTGCGTGTACGTGCTTACACAGTGGAGTGTTTTGGTGGAAAGCTTCTGGCCCATGCCTGAGCGGTGTCAAAGCTATTAAGCTGGCCTGGCAGGTTACCCAGGGATTCCCTTGCCGTGGAGAGCCTTTTGTTAATGTGAAGCTGGTGTGGCTGTTTTCTGCTGCCTCCCCTGTGGTTCGTGTTGCATGAAGTAAACACGGTGTGGCCAGACTGCAGGTGAGCTTTGACCAGCCCTGGCTGCTAAGATGGTTTCTGGGCAATGTTGGGGGGGGGGTTCAATTTAAGGAAGCTTAATAGCCGTGTGAATATTCAGGGTGTCGTGCTGGACCCTGGCAAAAGCTGTGATCAGAGCAGGTAGAAAATGGCAAGTTCTTTATGGGTCCCCACCCCTCGTCCTCCTCAAGTTCAAGCTCGGCTCAACAGCTCCAGAGGATCCCACTCGTAACAATAATTTGGTAAATAAAATGCAGAAAGAGGGATCCCTTGTCTAGTAGGTTGGCCCGTTGCGTGAGTGTGTTTGTAAAAGCCTGTATAGCTTGCCTGTTTACATAGAAAGCCAGGCTAAGCTCAGGTAAATAATTACTGCTAAAACGCTATTACTTTCAGTAAATACAAACTAATGTTTGCTACTCTATGCAATATTTACCGAGGAAGCCAGAAGAACCAGAACCAATGTTTGTTCCCTTAGAGGATTTCATGCCAGCTGCCTGAAACAACGTCTATGCATCGCTTCGTGTGTTCTCCCTGTAACTGCTCCTCTGCCGCCTTTTGGCGTAAACGGTTTAGGTAACATAACCCCCTCGCTATTTGTCCCTGCATCTTACATCTGTTTCCACAAGGCTAAAAAAAAAAAAAAAAGGCAGAATGGCAAATAAGAAGTGCTAAAATGGATATAAACAGAAGTCTACCTTGCAGTCTGTATAAATATATGTCTCGGCAAGCTATAAAGGGGATTAGGCATGATTTGCTATTATAATTTTCCCTCTAGTGTAATCATTTCCTTTGGAGAAAGGTGAGTTAAAATGGAGTTAAAATACAGTCTAATGACCCAAGCAACGTATTTCCTTATTACTCTAGATACAGAACCAGTTCCAACAACTCACTGTAAGTTACATATGCGATTCATTAGATGTCAGAAGATTTTACCCAAGTCAAAAGTTAACGTTGTAACACTTGTTTTAAAAGATAAAATATGCAATCCCACAGGAAGCAGGCTACTATAGAACACCGCTGGAAACATTCCCCAGATAGATGCATAGCTTATATTCAGATTTATCAATAAAAAACACGAGTATTAACATTCATCCTTCTTAACCACTTGGAACAGGGAGCAATGATTTCCCGGCGCTGAGTGTTCTGCAGAGAAAAACTGGTTTCTACCTACCGAGGTTAAAGGATTAATGAATACTTGGCACATGAGAAATGAATAGTGATAGCGGGAAGAAGATTGCATGTAGACAGTGTGATAAGGTGCGTAACAGAGAAACATCATGTCACACACGTTGCTGTGCCCCGAGAAGCAGACGAAGCTCCTTTCTGTTGAATTTCAGATAAAATGTTTTAAAACATCAATATTTATTTTGTCATACTTGGAAATATTTTACTCATTTATCTAATACATCTAAGGAAATCATCTAGAAGAGGGGTTGGCTGACTGACATTTGGTGATAGAATTTGTTCTCCGTGAGCTTCATTATGTGCTATGTTGGCTGTTTACATGGTCTGTTGCCTGCTACTAAGAACTATTACCCATATGCATGAATTTGCCGGGCAGTATCTAAAGCGAAAAATATGTAGCTACATTCGCAGGAGAAACGTATTACATGATTATATATCAATAGATTGATACGGAAGTAGGGATATTACATATTAGTATTTGATATATATCGCAGATTTATAGAGAAATGTAGTTCTCAATCACATGCTTTTATGGAAAACCTGTCCTACTAAATCACCCTCTTGGCTCACTC